AGTCGCCGTGCGCCGTGCACCACACCCGAGTGGTATTGTTAACGAGGTGGTGATTATAGGTGGGCGATATTTTGGCCCTGCGGAGCCGCGTGTTTATCAACTTGGGACCAGGGAATTGAGATTCTGGTCAAGCAAAACAGCGCTTCCAGAAAATTGGACAGAACACATCTCTCCCGCCTTCTTGACCACAGGAACAGCCCACAGCGCGCCCGAGGTCCGCGGTCCCTGGACAGATGCCGGGCGCTTGCTCGAGCTCTATTTTTAACAAACTCTTCATGTCCACGTCAGGGTTAGCCCTTGAGGATGCGGAAGCGGCTGAAGCAACGCCAGCGCCGCCCGCCGTCATTTAAGAGCGACAGCAAAGCACTAATCAAGTCTTCCAAGGTTTCAACAAGAGAGGTATTAGCCCGTCCGCCATTTTGGGTGACCAGCCGACTTCTAGCTCTAGATCTGAGTTCGGAAGAGAAGTTGAAGAAACGCACTGAAGAAACGCACGTGCCACAGTGGAGGTGGCGCAAAGAGGCCGTGGCATCCGGATCAATCCGGGATGACCCGATACTGCCCCTTCTCGTATCCACCATGGTTCCGGTTGGCCAAATCCAACACGCCGAGAAGAAGACAGAGACACTAAAATCGGGGGGCCCAGTCCGGTGTCTCATCAGAGCTGCGCACCAAACCGGGGAAGGAACCTGCGGAACAAAAAATGGCATTCACCATGCTGTCTGTCAATGTTTTACTATGTACACAGGACCTGGTTGCATCAGAGGTTTCAATATATTGCTTCCGGGGCCGGTTTCTGCACGGTTAGGTCGTATACCTTAGCTTCGCCGAACAACATTTAGCAACCGGAACATTGAATAGAAACTACAATTGAATGCAGCGTCGCCAAAAGCAGCCGCGCGTCCCGGGTTGATAAAATTAATATCATCGTAAAACGGGTGAAATGAGGACGGGGTGACGGCAAGAGCGGGGCATCCATATAAAAGAAGGTGTTCTTTGGCTCCGTTCTCCAGTTCAAATCTTCCACTTGGAATCAACAATGCAATTCTCATTCTCATTCTCATTTGCTCGTCTCGCTCTCATCCTTGTCGCGCTGGCAATCAGCACAAACGCCCGGATCCAGACCACCCGACACGCTGCCCCCACCACCAAACACGCTGCCCCCCACACTACCAAACACGCTGCCCACACCACCAGACACGCTGCCCCCCACACCACCCGACACGCCGGCCGTTCACTCAGGGGTGCCTGCACCTGCTCCATATCCGATGGAGTGGAGCATTGCCTCTGCTAACTGGGTATACACAACTCCTCTGCTCTTTTTTGGAAGCAGGCCCATAATTAATCATGACCACCAGATTCTTGGCTGTGCACAATGGCTGTTACAGAAAAGTGGTTTTTATGTTGGAGGATGTTCCCGGGAATTTCATTCGTTCGAGCGAGATTCCACCAGCACCAGAGGCCGGCCCCTGGTTTTAATAGTCTTCGCCGAATCCCACATCTGATGATATTTATGTAACAATTCAACAAAAAAAATGGAACGAAACTGTCAGAGATCCGATGATTCCAATCAATTATTCTACCTACTTAACATACCTGCCTTGAAAATTTACAAATTACGTACTGGCGAAATCGCTTGGTGACCATCATTTTGTCATAAGCGGATACGCATCTAGGCTGCATCAACGCGAGGATCCTGATGTGCCTGGATATTGTCCACTTATATAGGACCGATGTCGAAAACACCCTCGAAGTATCAACAAGACTTCCTGCGCAAAAACTGGTTTAACCGGGACGTCTTCACATTATGCCTTCCTCTTTCGACTAGAGAGCTCCGACTATGTACGTCGGAAGAGACCTTGCTTTACAAAAATAAGTGTAACTTGTCTTTCCAGTTCCTGCTTGCACTCTTCAATTGTGTTGGTCCTGCAGATTACTGCGTGTGGGCACCCGGGTGGCAATACCAGCCGGTAATGCGTAATAATTGTGTAACACCCGCGAATTTACCCACTGTATGTAAACGAGGACAGCAAAGTTGTATGATTGGCTCGGGAGAACTAGGATCAATGGGTGGGGTAAGATCAGAGCCAATTATGAGTGTGGAGAGACCTTGACAAGCAAGGTAACGCGCTCACTTGCCAAACCGGGTGTTACCAAGTTTCCCACACCAGCTATCATGCTATACTTAGTTAGGATCTAACATGGAGCTAACGTGGTATTTCCCGAATCCTCGGGTGCGTTTCCTCCACGTCTGTCACAGTGCACGTGCAAGATCCAAGATTAAATTGAGTTGAGACAGCGACATCGAGTCGTCCGGCGTATAATATGCGGGGAAAGGAATCATAGTCCAGTGAATTGGAGCTTGCGGGCGAAAAACAAAAAAAGTGTCGCCGAAGTGGTCAAAATTCGGGCGCGAGGAGTCGAACCCCGGGCTTCGGCTTGCAACTTGCGGGACTCGACGAAATTATAACCGCCGTGCACCGTGGACCACGTCCGATATTTAGCCATGGACGCGCGTCGGTGAAGGACGGTCGATTTCAACCGCCTCGCACTCGGGGTTCAACTTGAACCAATACTCGCGGCATCTCAACCCATGCTCCTCCACAAATTTTCGAACACATCCACTTGGCGAGAATACATGTACAGAATTGTGGTGGATGCTGCTCGAATTCAGATGTAGCTGCCTACATGTAAGATGAATTATAAGAACATTACACGTGATAGCTGCGGTAGACGAAGAATACAGTAGCTAGAACCAGCGCTGAAACGTGGATGACGTTGATTGTGTGCAGCTGCTTTTGGATCCCTGCGATTTGATTTTCTAGACTGTTTCTTCAATCAGAACGGAAAAGATAATGGTGTGAAAGTACTGTACGAACACTGAAATCCTATCGGTTTTTATCCATCCCTTTTTCATGAGTGCCTCCTCCCACACTATGACGGCCGCCACCTTGCGGGTCTCTTCAAAACGTTTAGTCGCGATCCTTAGCTGGATGGCGACGCGACTTCGAAGGGAACATGTCAGACACAAGCGAGTAGAGAGGCAACTACTCTGACCGGTTTTTCTTCTCCTCCTGCGACGCCACCGCGTCGTCGACGTCGTCGAGTGAGACAAGCTCCACCTTCCTTGCCTCGGCTGCCGCCGACGAGACTGAAGTCGTATTGGTCCTCCACTCTTCGGCAAAAGCCGTCGACGTGACGGCCGCACACAAGGTCTCGTAAACCGCGGCCTCGCGGTGGCGGTCTGAAAAACGGAGGGTAGTGATTAGGTCGTACATATCTGAGAAGGTGATGTCGTGAACAGTTTTATTCCGTTTTTCAAAACCGGTAGGGTCCAAAACCGGTATGAGGGACGTCTCGAAGACGCGGTAGTGGGATCTGATATTCCAGTGTTGTGAGTTGAAATTAAAACCATAGTGGTAAGTAGACATACTGAGCAGGAGGGAGGAAACTCCTGAAGAATCTCACCACCTCCATCGTCGGTTTCTTCGCGAGAAAATTGTCAAAGAAGGCCTTCCTAGTCACCCCGGCGCCGGCGCCATCGTCGAAGTGGACACGGACATCGATGTTTCCGATCGCTTGGTACACCTAAAAAAAGGAAATGAGCGTTTCCCACTTCTACGTTGAAAGAGTAACTTACCAAACCTAAGAATTCGCTCTTGATGACCGTTTCTTTGAATCCGCTATGTTCTATGGTTCGGTCCGCTTATATCTTCGCAATTTCTTCGTCGCCAACTGTGACAAATACCGCCTGCGTTCCGCGAGGCAGGCTTTGTAAGGCTTGACGGAATGCATCGCACCAGCGATCGGCTCTCTCGGGCATAATCTTCGGGGACGGCAGGGTAGAAGAGGAATGAGAACGCGGTGGGGTGGAAGTGGCCTTAAACGTAGAGTTACACTGTGCCGGGGATGATGGCGTGCTGGCGGGCGTGGATGGAGAAGGCGGGGCCGACATGCGCGGCGAACGTGAACGAGGTGGTGTCGCGGTCGTCCGAGTCGCACTTGGATTAGGCGGGGACGAGGGAGGTTTAGGAATCCGTCGGACAGTGGCCGCATAGACTGGGCGAGCTTCGGAGGACATCGCCGTTCGAGAGCAAAAGAATGCCAAAGCCCCAAAAGACCCCTGAGCACCAAGCACCTGACGTAAGAACAAACAACGCCAGATCCGCAAACAGCCTTGATCCGATTGGATCCGGACTACTGACTCGGAGGACGATGTTGCAACCTTGTTAGGCACCTATGTAGCCCAACTACCTTGCTGTATTAGCCGGGAAGATATAGCAGGTATCCCCGGCTAAGAAGCCGCGTTAGCGCGGCAGGCGGTGATTTCGCTAAAACTCCTTACTCTCGTTAAATGTAGGGTTAATAGCGAACAACTAGCGTTAAATATCAGCTAACAGAGCTACTTGAGAGATATCGTGAGCGTTAAATACAAGATAAGGGAGATAAGAGTGTTTCCGAGTCTGCGACTCGGATACATCGCAGACTCGGATAAAATCCAAATTAGAAGTGGCCCAAAAACAAAGTGTACGCCACCCCGACTCGGGCGCGGGGAGTCGAACCCCGGTCTGCGGCTTGCAGTGTTTCTTTTCGACAATGGTACATGGAACCGCCGTGCACCGTGCACCACGCCTGATACTTAGCTCTGAACGTCCGTCGGTAAAGGAGGCCGATTCCGACCTCACAGCCGGTGCCCTCCCTCAACCTCACCCTCGAAATGGTTACCCGCCGTGCACCGTGCACCATGCCCGATTTTTAGCTGTGAACGCGCGTCGGTAAAAGAGGGTCGATGCCAACCGCCTCGCATTCGAGGTTCAACTTGGAAGCAATACTCGCGGGATCTCAACGCTCCTCCAAAAGTTTTCAAACGCACCCGCCCGCACGGCGGATACATGCACAGAAGAGTCGCTGGTTACTGCGACGCGGATTCAGATGAAGCTGCCTAGGTCAAGCATGAATTAGAAGTGGAACAAAATACAAACTCGTCCGACTATTCTAGTTCGGGCGCGGGGAATTGAACCCCGGTCTGCGGCTTGCATTATTTCCTGCAATGAAATGATAGCCGCTGTGCACCGTGCACCGCGCCCGATATTTAGCTCTGAGCGCGCGTCGGTAAAGTAGCGTCGATTCCAACCGCGTTCGGCCGCGGGGCTCAACTTGAACCAATACTCGCGGGATCTCAACTTCCCAGGCTCCTCCATAAGTTTCGAACACGCCCGCCCGCGCAAATAAATGTACAGAAGAACTTGTGGTGTAGTCGACTCGGATTCAGACGAAGCTGCCTACATGTAGATCCAGCATAAATGAGAAGGGGAACAAAATAAAAACTACGCCGACCTTACAGTTCGGGCGCGGGGAGTCGAACCCCGGTCTGCGGCCGACGCTAGAAACTCGCCGAATGCATTGGTAACCAATGTGTACCGTGCACCACACCCGAATGTTTCCTGTGAACGTGCGTCGGTAAAAGTACCAATAATACAGTCCATTCCGAGTCGACGCGATCGCGAGGCGGCGGCCATTTCAACCGATTGCACGGTTCTCTGCCAAAAATTTCGAACACGGAATACACCCGCCCGCGCGGATACATGTACACAATTTCTGGTTGATGCGACCGGGATTCAGCCTGGATGTAGTATAAATTAGAAGAACAAAATAATAACCCTACCTATAATAGTTCGGGCGCGGGGAGTCGAACCCCGTTCTGCGGCTGGCCATTGGCTGGAGGAGTGGTTTAATAGTAGCCGCCGTGCACCGTAGTCTCCCGTAGTCAGACCATGAATCAAATGAGATTTTTCCTTTTTTTTTGGAGAGAGTGGAAAAAAATCTTGATTATGGTCTGATTGTAGTCGCGCATCCCAAACCGGAGATCGACGTTCGGCAACTGCCGCGCTGGATTAGGAAAGTGTTTCCCGATTGAGAGGATGATCCGAGGCCCCGTGACTTGGCCATCATTTTCTCGACGCGGAGGCCTCCACCACCTTCGTGCGTTTCTCGCGTGTTTCCCTATGGATTCGGACGGATCTACGTCGCAATCTGATGCAGCTGGTAACTGTGTGGCTCAAATGTGGGGAGGGCCGTGAGGAGGATTTGTCGGACCAGCGCAAAGCCTATTGGGGAGTGAAAAGTGAAGCTGTTGACCAGAGAAGTTAAAAAGACGAAAACACCAGCGAGGAACAGCCATAGTGCGACCATTAGCACGCGTGTATTTATGGTCGCGTCCTGAGCGTATGTGGTGTTGCTTGCAGGTCATGTGATTTCATTAACGCCGAAACCCGACCGCCGGTATCAACCCATCAAAGAAATCTAGACTACGTGCACCGTTGGGGTGGGCCGCTCCGAGATAGCGGGGAGCGTCGGCGCTGGCGGTGATGCGCTGGCAAGAAGCTAGATTATGACTAAGCTACGGACAACCAGACCAAACACCCTACTACATGTGCCCAACAGAAACAAGGCAACGTCCTCGTTGCCCCGAAACTAGCAGTCCCCCCAAAACACTCAGCCCACCTACAGCCTAACCCATCCCAAGGCTGTGAGCGCTTGACCCAAGTCACGAAGGCGGGGATCTTGATCCCAATCGAGCGGGAATTTCGCCGGCGGAAACGAAGTCGGGGCGGGGAAGGGAATAGACGGTGGTGAACGCGAATACAATAATGGTGTTCTTCGGGTTGTTGAATAATGAACACCGGATTTTTGCTGAGGTCGACGGATGGAATTCGGAGGTCGCGGCGAGCGTCGACGGCGTCGCTGCAAACTTGCGAACGGCTGCAGTGAGCTTATACCAAGCGCGGAGAAGTCGCGTGGAGTCGATGGCGGTGGTGCGGAATGCAAGGGAAATATAGGCATGGTGGCTGCATCCTCGGCCCAATCCAAGGGTCCGGGCATAGGTGCGGGTGCGGCTGCAGGCGCAGGCGTAGACGCGGCGGCGGCGGGGATGACAGGCGTAACGGAGACGTCGTCCGTTTGTATGGCGGCAACGGATAGGGAGCAGGGCAAAAGATGAGAAGGTGGGATGAGACTCGCCTGCGACGCGCGCAACTGCTGCTGCTCGGAACAAAGCTTCCAGCCCACGTCGAATCCCCAGACCCGTTCCTCCTCCAACTTCTTCGCAACCTCCTGTTCACGGTCCCAGCAAGCATCCTCCCCAACCGCAAAGCCCATATGTGCGGCCTGTTGCCACAGCTCGCGAAGTGCTTTCTCGAAGGCATTTCCGGTCTCGGTGTCCATCCACGCCATATCCTTGTGAAACCGTACTTCAGTACACAGTTTCGTAATCATCTCGTTCTGCGATGTCGAGAACCCGTGGTTTCTTCTCCAGAATTGAAAAGACATGATGCGACAATAAGGGCGGAACGGCAGATCGTAACAATTGTAGCAGCACTAGCGGGTGTGTGGGGACTGCAGGAACGACGGCGATGCGGCAATGGCGGCGATTGCGATGATGGAAACGGCGCGAGATACGACAGGATACGATATACTTCTTCACTACGGGGTTTCTCGGGTCCACGGGTTCACAGATGTCGTCCAGATGCGCGGCGGGTGCTTCGGAGGTCGAGCGAGGTACGAAGACCACTCCAATCACCAAAATGGGGTGGGCCGCTCCGAGATAGCGGGGAGCGTCGGCGCTGGCGGTGATGCGCTGGCAAGAAGCTAGATTATGACTAAGCTACGGACAACCAGACCAAACACCCTACTACACCGTGCACCACACCCGATTATTACTATTAGGGGGAGTCAAGGCGGTCAAGCTGCACCGATTCTCGGCCGATTCTGATTTCGATTCTAATGTCGATTCTGATGTCGAGAATCGGTGTCATCCCAGAATCGGTCAGAATCACTGTTCCTCCTCCGGAGGAAGAACTGCATCAGAATCGGTCGAGAATCGGCTTCGATTCTCGTCGACATGAGAATTGATGCCCACCCTAAACCTCCTTGAGCCTGCCCTGAACATCTGCCCTTGATCTGCCCACATATTCTTTGTTTACAGTGCTTACAGGTGTATGTATATCATGCCCGGCCCTCTTTCCAATATAAGACTGAGGTATGGCTGGTGGCTCTTTGGCTGCAACATTCCATAAACCTGCGCAGGACCAAGGCAAGACAAAGAGCACATATTCATGTTCCATGTTGCGTGTCCGACAAGGCAAGCATATCATTTTTTATCTTATTAATATTAGAACACTCGGCCGGCGTTTTCTCACTGCCAATTATGCTTTGAATCGAAGTAAGAATCGGAGTTGAACCAGAGGGGGGTCAAACCTGATTCTGATTCTGGTCCGATTCTGACAGCAGAATCGGACCAGAATCGATGTCAGAATCGAACGAGAATCGGCGGGCGTTGACCGCTTTGACTTCCCCTATTAGCACGGAACGGAACTCGGTACGGTGTGCTTCAAACGCGCGTTATTTGTCCGTATTTCCCGGGCACGTTACCGGGTACGCTGTTGACCACGATAATCGATGTCATCGTGGCGTCCTCGCGTCTGCACACGACCGGGCACGGCCAAATCCCGTATTCCCCTTCTCCCATGTCCCCGGCAAAATTCGTTTGTGCCCCGTTACTGAACTAACGGATTACTCGTAGCTGCTGCTTCAATAATTCTTGAAGAATTCTACGCTGCGATGCTGCTGCTGCCCGCGCCGCTGCTGCCCTTCCTGAGAAGTTCCTCCCACCGGCCCTCTCCCCCGCCGCCGGGCCCTCGCTCGCCCTCCTCTTCCCACTGCTCCTCCTCCTCCTGCTGCCCCTCGCCGTGTACCTCCCGTCCTGGCGCCCCATCCTCCCCGCAGCGCCGACGCTCCCCACGAGCGCCCGCACCTCCGCGCTCGCCGCCGAGTACCCGCCCGCGCCCCTCCGCGGCCGCGGGCGGAACCACCCGCACACCCGCACGACGCGCGCGCTGCTCGGCCTGCGCCGCGCGAAGAGCCTAGGCCCCGTCCTCCCGCGCTTCCGCCGTGACGTCTCCGAGCCGTCTGCTGTGGCGCCGCACGCTGTCCCGCTCGTCGGCCTCTTCGCGAGCTGGGGCTCTCTTTCGTCCATCTCCGCCGCCGCCTCCTCCGCGTCCAAGTACGTCCAAGCACCACTACCTCCCCTAATCAACGTAACCAACCCCCGCTGCATGGGCCCTCGCGTGCTCGGGGAGCGTCATGCATCGTTTGCTCGTGTCGCGGTCTCCGTCTTTCGGCCTTGCGCGCGATACGGAGATGAAGCCGCCGCCCACTCCACCGGCCGCTGAGATGAATATCTGTACCTAGGATATCCTCCCGCTGCAGCCGCGCTCCATCGATATCCTTACGAATCCCGCCATTAACGCATACAATGTCTCCACCACACACGCACCGCCCCTCGCCGCTCCCTCCGCCCTCTCGACCGCCCGGACGCCCGCATATGTCCCGTCCCGCGTCGATAATTACGACACGAGCGCTGACGCGAGATCCAGGCCCCGGATCCTAGGAGTCCACGAGTCTTCCCTGCGTCTACCGTTAAAGATTTCTACGAGGACGTGGCGGCGGCGGCGGCCGTCCATCACTTCCTTTCCCCGCGCCCCCGCCAAACATATTAGTTTTCTGTAGGCGTCTGCGGTAGCAAGTCCGCCGAAAGCAAAGCCACTGTCCACGTTGCCGCCTCGGTAAGTCCTCCTGGCTCTCAGATGTTCTCCCTGGAACTCACGCGGTGGGTCACGGAGAAATTCGTACAGCTTCGGGGGGGGGCTACCGTTTCATGCATGGAGCATGACCCTTTCATGCTAAAGGATCTCATGTTGATCAAGAGTGGCCTGCCCTTGAAATCATTTCGGAGTCGGAGAAGGTCTGACTTTTCTTGGTAAATGCTGATTTTTCGATAGTGACTACAATGTATACCAAGAATAAACTAACCATGCACCACGACAGCTCCGAATAATACCCGTCTGCTCGCCTCATTTTTGCTGTTCCTAAGCAGAGTAGTTATGATCATAGTAGTAAGTCCACATCTAACGATTAGCAGTGTTTCTGCTTTACAGTCGGCTTCAAAGCAACGTAACGAGCCGTACGATGGGCATTTTTTGCGACGGCCGACAACAAAAATCTGAGTCGACAGGATACCTTTCATTGCAGACAGAAGAGCCGGCAGATGGTGAGCAACATTAATGAACACTTCGATTCACAGTATACACCCAGATGTTAATTTATTTTCTGCTTGGACACGGAGCAGAGTTCAGGAAGAGGAAGGATTCGGCACTATGGCGGTCATCAATGATGATCTGGATCTAGGGCGCTTATCTACAGGGACAGGCTGTGCACGAGCTACATCCTTTTAAAGCCGTGTGAATTCCATGTCGCCATTTCCCGTCCTTCCACGTCCTACCACGTCCACCTCTTCGGGCAGTATCCGACCTTTCGACCTTTTTGAACCATTTTGCGGCGTAGTTTCCGGATACACGCGATGAACTCTTTCGGGGGCGA